AAAGAAAGAAAGAAAGAAAGAAAGAAAGAAAGAAAGAAAGAAAGAAAAAAGTCAGGAAGGAAGGAAGTAAGGTTGGAAAGAAGGAAGGAAGGAAGAAAGGAAGGAAGAAAGAAGGGAAGGGAGCATTAAAAACCCAATAAAACTATGGATCATCTTTGCAATTCTTGTGAAACTTAAAATTTACCATGACTTGATTTTTTAAAAAATAATTTATTTCTTGGAACAATTTATTTCAGACTCTGAGTGTGTGGATGTGAACTAAGGGAATGATGAGTGTTAAAAGGTGATGGGAGCTATGGACTCCCAGAGATTCTAATTAAACCAGAATAAAGGCTTAAACTTTTTTTACTTCACAAGAAAATAGGGGTTACAATAGTATCAAGAAATGTGTATATAAATTCACAAAATTAAATCTCTGTTATAATCCAAGCACTGAGTTAGATACTAAGAAATCCAAATCCAAAGGATAAAATTCCTCATATGTACGTATGTATGTATGTATATAAATACATATGTGTATATATGCATATATTATACACACAGAGAGGAGAAGCAGCTGTTGGGTGACCAACTCAGTAGAACATTGAAACATTGGTAATATCTAAGGTCATATAAATGTATGTGTATATACATATATAAGTCTCAGCTAAAAATCTCATCTTCTGCAAGAAGTTTTCCTTATCCCCTTAATGCTAGTGCCTCCCCTCTGAGATTACCTCTAATTTTCAGATATACATATATATATATATACATATATACATACATTAATATGCAAACTGAAATTACCTCCAATTTTCTCATATCTTGTGTGTATATATACACACACACATATACACTCATATTCTTATAACACATACATACATATACATACATATACGTATTAGATGTAATCTGAGATGGAAGGCACTAGCATCAAGGGGGAAAAGGGAAAGGAGAAAAGGAAAATCTTCTTGAAGAAGATGAGATGCTGATGTCTGAAGAAGGACAAAGGAGTCAGGAGGGAGAGCCGAGGAGGGAAAGCATTTTGGGCATGGAGATAACCAGTGAAAATGCACACAGTAGGGAGATGAAGCATCTTGTGTGAGAAACAGCAAAGAAGCCAATGTCACTGATTATAGAGAACACAGAGGGGAGAAAAATCTAGCAAGACTGGGAAGGTAGGAATGGGCTAGGTTATAAAGGGCTTTGCAGACTGAACAAAGGAGATGTCATCCTGCATGTAACAGAGAGCCATTGGGGTTTATTGTGAATAGGAGAGTACTTTTTAGGAAGATCATTTTGACAGTTGAAAGTCAGATGAACTGGAAAGAAGAGAGGCTTGAGTCAGGAAAACCAACCAGAAAACTATTGCAGTATCCAGGCATGAGGTGATAAATACTTCTAACAGGGTGGTGGCAATGTTAGAGGAGAGAAGGGGATACCCTGCATGAGAGATGTTGCGAAGGTAGAATTGACAGGACTCAGCAATAGATTGGATATGAAGGGTGAGAGAGAGTGAGGAGTCAAGGATGACATCTTGATAACTGGAGAGATGGTGGTGCCCTCCAAAGTAATAGGAAAATTAGGAAGACGGGAGGGTTTGAGGGAAAAGATAATGAGTTCAGTTTTGAACATGTCAAGCTGAAGATGTCTCTGGGAGCTCCTGGTCAGGATGTATAACAGGCAATTGGAGATATGAGACTGGAGGTCAACAATGAGGTTATGGCTAGATAAACAGATCTGAGGATCATCTGTGTAGAGATGATAATGGAAGAAGTGAAAACAGTATAGGGACAGAATTTGAGCTGTAGGGTAACTAACTCAGTAGAACATTGGTAATATCTAAGGTCTAAGAAGAAGAGAGGAAAGAAATACACATTTAAATAGCACTTGCTACGTGTCAGGAACTATGCTAAGTTTTTTGATGATGAGATTTATTCACTCGGAAGAATTTCTCCGTAATTCTTCTGCACCTCAAAGTATGTAAAAAATGGCTCAAGGAGAGAGAATGTCCAGATCCAGGAAGAAGTTAGGAAGCTGTTACTGCTTTTACAATGGTCTTCTTGAAAGGTGATGAGTGATTAAACTAGGGTGGTAGTGGTGCCTGTGGAATGGAGGGGATGACTGAATCTCATATTATAGAGTCAGAATTCACAGGACTTAGCACCTGATTGGATATGGAGGCTGAGGAAGAGGACTGAGTTAAGGGTGACTCTGGGTGAACGGAAACATCTTGATGCCATCAATAGTAATACAGAAGTTAGGAGGACAGGCAAGTTTTCCAAACTTTCAAATTTGAGTGGACTTTCCTGGGGAAAAAAAGCCTCCTGGTTCATGCCTTGTCTTTAAATACCTTCCCTAGTCCTCCATAAACCAACCATTGAGAAGGAGGAAAGCATGCAGGGCCAATTAGCACAAAATCAGCTAGAAAGTCTTAAGTCTTGTCCCATGTGGACCTAGCTTCAGTATTATGAAGGGTGATCTCTCTAATTTCTAATGTTTCCTTAATGTAATCTGGAGGTAACAACTCAACTTTTCCTTTGCTCTCTCATTTAGGGATGTACCGCTGTGGTCCTTCTTCTGTCCAGGCTGTTAAGCATGGCCATGTTTGCTTCCAGTTCGATACACCATTTGTTTTTGCAGAGGTAGGTGAGAGCCGGGGAAGAGGGGCGCAGACTAAGGCATATGCTGTCCCCTTCCAATAATATTCCTACCTGCACACTGCACCACACTAGATGCTGTACAATCAGAAAGACAATCTATAGCCTGCAGGTAAAGTCCTAATCGGTGATTCTGAAACTAGGAGCAAGCATATGCTCCTACACAGATGTGTAAATCAGTAGGCATGGTGGATAAATGGCCAGCCTTGGATTCAGGCCGACTTCAGTTCAAGTCTTCCTCTGACTTGACACTTACTGGCTCTGTGACCAGGAGCAAACCATTTAATTTCTCAGTGCCCCAAGCAATTCTCTAAAACTACAAGTCATAGAGGAATGTCAGTCTGCATTGGTGGGGAGACTTTTCTTACTGGGAGTCCTCAACTTCATCAATATCATAACTAACATTTATACAGCTTTCTTTGTGCCAGGCACTGGGCTAAGCCCTTCTTTTTTAAACAAATATTATCTCATTTGATCTTCACAACTCTGGGAGATAGGTGCTGTTGATATTCCCTTTTTTACAGATGAGAATACTGAGGCAAACAGAGGTTAAGTGACTTGCCTCAGATCACAAAGTTAGTTAGCGTTTAAGGCTGGTTTTGAACTAAAATCTTCTTGATTCCAGGCATGGTGCTCAATCCATTATATGTGAGATTAGACAAAAAAACAAACAAACTAAATAAAACATCAAAAACAAAAACAAAACAAATACAAAAAACATTAACAAAAAATCCCTACAAAATCTTGCTATAGGCAAGACATTATTTTAGGCTAGTATGGAGGAGAAAAAAGATTTCAAAAGAGAACAAGACTTAGTCACTACCCTCCTGAAGTCCACAATCTAGTCAATAAACTAAGACATAAACAAAAGTTACATAACAATTTGTGGGGTGAATGTATTGGGTGTATCCCCGCATTGGCCTGGATCTTTCTTGCCCCAACTGGACTTTGTTCTGATATCTGGTATTGGTCCCCTAAACTAGAATTGAAATTTCCTTGATGATAACACTTTGATAAAACATGAATTCCCGCCTGGTCCTGGGACTTGTTGCCTAACTGACACTCCCTTGATAATGATTGATCGAGTCACAATCAATTGGCTTGCTCTTTAAAAGGAAGATAGAGAACACAGGGGTAATGACAAGGGCTTGGAGGTTGTACAAAGAGAAGCCAGTCAGAGTCTTCCTGTCCCACCAGGAAATTAACTCTGGAGCTTCAGGAGCTCTTGGTTGCTCAAGGACCTAGCGCCTTGGAGGGCTCACTTGGGTCCTTCTCTCTAGGGAATCCAGTCTCTAACTTGGTGTAGCCCCTATCCTCTCTGCCCTCCTCTCCATACCCCTTTTAAAAGCCAGGCCCCCAGGTAACTCAACTGTATAAACTATAAATTATTGCATCAGTCATTCTCAAAGTGTGGCAAGTACCCAGGATAAGGGAAGTTGACATCCTATCAATGGGTTAACGCTGACTCTTCAGTATGAAGAGAAAAAGATACTCATCAATGAGGCAATAAGGATTATAGAGTATCAAAGAGAGCTAGGGTCAATGAGGTCTTCGATTTAGAAGAGGAAGGGACCTTAGAGATCATCTGGTATTATATTGCCATTATATTGAGGGAAGTGAGGCCCTTGGGGTCAGGAGATTGGCCCAAGGTAGTAAGTAGCAGATCCAGATTTTGAGTGCAGGTCCTCTGACTCCAAATACTGTGTAATTCTTACTGCCCAAAAGAACAAAAACAAAAACAAAGAATCATTGGGAGGGTGGAAGTTTGGAGCAGGGAGGGGAGGGACCACTATGGTTCTGAGGAAACAGTGCTGAACCTGAGTTCAAATCCCAATTCCACCATTTACTTGTTTGTGTGACCTTAATTTATTTAACCTCTCTGGACCTCAGTTTCCTCATCTGTAAAATTAGGAGATTAGACCAGATTTCCTCAACAGTACCTTCAAACTCTAGATCTATGATCCTATCTATGACTGAATTGATGTCTTCCATGCCAAAATATGGGCCTCATTGGTGGGAACAAGACTCAGGACAATTAATACCTGGGAATACCCACTACATCAGAATAATAATTTAAGGACTGTCATGAGTCAGTGCATGACGAACTGCCAAATGAGTGGCAGAAATATAAAGTTCAATAATTTTTTAAGTATTCACATATATCTATGTCCTCTAAAAAAGTATCTTTGCTGCATTTTCCTCTTTGTGGTCCTCTGTTATAGTTTGCAGGCTCTTCTGAAAGATAGACATATTTGGAACACTATCTCCATAATGTTACTTTGGTCTTTTGTTGATTTACACAAACCTCCTGGGTTGCATTCTTCTAGTTTATGATATTATAAGAATCTCTTGATGGAAATCATGCTCTATGTTTCATAAATCCTTATATTATTATTATGTTTTATTACCAGAGAGAGGTAGACAGGACTTCCCACCAGGAACAAATTGATTTAATCATTGCTAATGTCAACACACAGTGTCGTTATTAAATCCAGATCTTGATTGTTAAGAATGCTGTCAAGATTCGCAAGTGAGAATTCCTTCTCTCTCATCCACTGAAGCTTTCGGTAATGATCTGCAGCATTTCTCACTCTGTTTGTCAGAGGCCTGAATCTGAGGGCTATCCATTTCTGAGGGATGTTCAGGTGACTAAAAAGTGAATAAAGAAGCCATTCAAGGGTCCCAAAAGAGGAACTTCATGGGGGGATGCATAAATCTTTAAAGAGAACCTCCAAGAATCAACCTCCCAATTGAATCTTCCTCCCCACCTCTCCCCTCCCCTCCCCTCCCCTCCCTTCCCTTCCCTTCCCTCCTCAATTATGTAGTATTTTAAGGTTTGCAAAAAACTGTACAAATATCTCATTTTATCCTCACAACAACCCTGGGAAGTAGGTGCCATTATTATCCATATTTTATAGTCTGAGGAAACTAAGATAGACAGAGGTTAAGTTAAGACTTGTCCAGGGTCACATAGCTAGTAAGTGTCCAAGATTGACTTTGAAGAGTTCTTCCTGACTCCAGGCCCAGTGTCCTATCCACTGTGCTACCTACTGAATGACTTGACAGATGTAACTGCTGAGATACTATTAGTGATCTGTGAAAGATGATACAAAACAAAAGAGATATTACAGGATTAGAGAAAGGCAAATGTCTCAATTTTCAGATATAAAAAGAGTGGAGTCTGCAAACTGCAGGGCAGTGAGCCTAATTTCCGTTCCTGAGAAGGTCTTAGGAGGCATTATTCAAAGGATAGTTAGTAAACATCTAGAAGAGAAAATAGTTATCACAAAAAGCCTTACCAACAGCTAGTCTTATCAGATGAATTTCATTTCTGCTTTTGCTAGGGCTGGATTGGTAAATCAGGGAAATTCCAAACATAGTTTCTCTAAATTTTAATAGAACATTTGACAGTATCTCTCATGCTGTTTTTTTAGAAAATATTGATAGATAGAGGCTAGATGATACTAAAATTAGGTGGATTTGGCAACGGTTGAATGGTTGGATCCAAAATATCATTACTGGTTCAATTTTACCTTGGAAAGGAATTTATAGTGGTGCGCCCCTGGGATCTGTGCTTGGAGTTGTGTTGTTCAACATTTTTATGTTCAATTACTTGAATCCAGACATAAAAGTTCTCCTATTCAAATTTGTACATACCACAGTACTGAGGGATAGCTAGCACTTTGGCTGAACAACTTAAGGATCTGACAGGCTAGAGCAATGGGCCTAATGTAGGACTTTGAACATGGGTTTGAAAAATTGACATCATAAACACAAGATGGGAGTACATGTGACTAGATGGCTATTCACCTGAAACGGATATGTGGCTTTGTGGAACTGCAAATTCAATATGAATCAACAGTGTGATATGGCAGCCAGAAAAAAATAATGCCATCTTATCAAAAGCATAGGGTTCAGAACTAAAAAGTGGATAATCCTGCTGATGCGAAGTTATAGGGACAATGAGTGTCACATATAGGGGCTATTTCATATGGGCAATGAGTGTCATAAACCCAAAAAAGATTTATTTTTTTTTCTGAAACCAATGTGATCCTACTAATTTAGTTCCCAAGTGGTTTTGTGTGTGTGTGTGTGTGTGTGTGTGTGTGTGTGCATGTTGGGTGGTAATTGTTTGGGCAAAAGGAAGAGAAGGGAAAGGAAGACAAGCTTTGTGAAACATCTTGAAAGAGCATTGGGAATCAGGAAACCCAGGAGGTATAGAACAAAAGTTGTTAACAAATAATTTAATTGAATTAAACTTTCTTTGTACCAGCGGGCAAATATAGAAACAATGAGTAGAAATTGCATAGAAGTACAGTGTATTGCATTTTATCCTTGGATTTACAGAGATGTTTCCTAATGCTGAAACCACTCCAGAAGCACAATCTCCTACCTTGGGAGGTAGATTCCCTTTTACCAGAGGTCTTGCAGAGAGGTTAGATAACCATTTGTCAGGGATATAATCCAAGGGTTGAACTAGATAGCATCTTCCAACTCTGAAAAGCCTTTGATTCTAGTCCCAGATCTATTCCTGAGGAGCTGTGTGACCTGGAACATGTAATTGAATCTCTCTCCTCCTCAGTTATCTGTTAAAATGAGGGGGGTGGCCAAAAAAAAATTGAAAATGAAATGTGTGGAATTATAAAGAATATGCTTGACCCCACAGAAGATACATAAGAAGACACCTCCCTTTTGACTCTCTATTTGTCTCTCTATTTATTGCGCATAAGCATTTAAGTGCCTACTCTGTAGTAGGCTAAGTACTTCACAAATATTATCTCATTTAATCCTCACCATAACCTGAGGAGGTGAGTGCTATAATTATTTGCATTTTACAGTCAAGGAAACTGAGGCAGACAGAGGATAAAGTGACTTGCCCAGAGTCACATATCTAGCAAGTGCCTGAAGCCAGATTTGAAATGTCTTCTAGATTCCAGGTCCAGTGATCTATCCACTATGCCCACAAAGCTGCCTCTCTTTTGTGGAGGTGGGGGTGGGAGAGTTCATAGGTGTAGGATATTGCATTTGTCAGATTTTTTTTGATGTATTAATCAGCTTTGATGATTTTTTTCTTTTCGTTTTCTTTTTTTTTTTAACTCTTTGTTATAAGGCATGGCTTTCCAGAATGTGGGGAAGGGAAGGAAATAGCAAGAAATCTAGGCAATGTACAAACAAAAGCTCTCAATAAAGGAAAAATCTCTTTTTTAAAAATAAGGGGTTGGGTCAGATGATCTATAAGATCCCTTCCAACTCTAACATTCTGTCTATACTATAGCTTCTGTAGCTAAGCTTTCATGGACCAAGCATAGGCTTCAGCAACATGAGTAATAAAATTGGTCTTGGGGAGAGCTTGGGGACTGGCCATCATTGTTTTGCCATCCCACTTTTGATCCCTCAAATATTATGCGCCGTACTGTGGGCTACTAAGGTTTTGTGTGAATTCCTCCTAGACTGATCCTACTCTTCTTTTATGGAAACTATTTGATTGTAGAATATTAGTCTTCCATGAGGCGACAAAAAAACCAAAACGTGGAAATGTTTAACATCTGCCTTCTGTGCCAATGTTGAAGAAGGGACAATATGTTGATATGTTAAAGGTGTTGATAATAAATCTCCATAAATAGGCTTTAAGATTATTTCAAGAACTACACCTGAGAGAAACAAACATTTTGGTGGCCAAATCAATAGATGACATGCTGCTCTCTTCTTTTTTCTTTCCAGGTCAACAGTGATCTTGTGTACATTACAGTCAAAAAAGATACCACTCATTTGGTTGAAGCTGTTGATAAAACGCACATTGGGAAATTAATCCTGACCAAGGAAATTGGTGGAGATGGACAACATGACATTACTGAAAATTACAAATTCCAGGAAGGTAACTTATTGCAGGTGGCAAAGGGAAGTGCTAGCTGAATGCACGTGCTTGACTTGAGCAAATTCTCCCTGTCATTTAAGTGTTTATTTGCTGTCCCTGAGGACATTGATTCAGAGAATACAGTGGTATTTGGAGCATTTTGTGTTAAGTACTTGTTTGTATGGAATCATACATTTTATAGTTGGAAGGGATTTGAAAGGTCATCTACTCCAACCCTTATCCAAATCATGAATCTCATTAACAGTATTGACAAGTGATCATGAAACTTGTACACAAAAACCCCCGTGGTAGAGAACTCACTTGTCTGAAGCAGCCCATTTCATTTGACCTCTTCCTAATTGTTGAGAGGTTGATCTTCATGCTTAGTGGATATTACAATCCCCATAGCTTCCACCCCTTTGGTCTCTGTTCTGTATTCCAAGGTCAAGCCGTACAAGACTCTTTGATAGGCCTCATCAGATATTTAAAGGCTATCATACTCCCCCTCCCAAGTCTTCCCTTCTTCAATTGTATCATATGGTCTATAACTGAACAGAGCCCTCTAGCTGGGATGTGCCCAAGGAGGTACAGCAAGGCTATCCCCTTCCTCAGCACAAGCACTCTGTTTCCTTTATTGCAGCCTGGGGCCCCATTAGATCTTTCAGTTGCTACATCCCATTGCTGCCTCATACTAAGTTGTGATTTACTAAAACACCAAAGGAAAAGAAAGCTTCCCTTATGAATTCCCTTGATTTTAAGCATTAATATGTAGCCTCTGAAAACAAAGCCAAGAGCTAAACAAGAACACAAAGAAAATGGCTTCTTACTAGACTTGAGAACCAACTGGTTAATTAGTTATAAAGATCTCTGACTCTTAAAGAAAACTACCTACATTTAACAGCAGTAAGCATTTAACTAGTTTTTGTAATGGTTAACTTTACATGTTTGCCAAGTAACCAGTTAATTTTTATTTTGAAGTGGAAAACCATCTTTCCCAGACCTTGCCCTGACCCATTCACTCTTTAACTCTCTAAAAGAAACAATAAATCTTTATTACAACTTTAGGATTTCTTAATTGAGACAAAGAAAACAGAGAGTTTTCTTATGAAATGTTTCCAACTTTCTCTTAGTCCATGTGTGAGGAACTTCCCACCATTATGGCATGTTGTAAGTGACAGTTAGACCAAAGCACATGGCTTACAAGATCTCAATCTTCTCTTCTGTCTGGGTCAGAAAAAGAAGAATATTTTGGCTTGAACCAAGCCAGGTCATTTCTCCTGCTTTCTAATCTCAACCTGAACTTTATATATAGTAGAAGAAGCTGCAATTTCCAAGCAAGAAATAGCTTTTAGCCAGCTAGTTTTGAAATGCTGACACCTACCTCAGTGACCACTGTCGTAGGTATGCATAATTAAGTCAGGAATGGCTGTAAAGTATGAATTCTTTCTGGCCTAAGGAGAAGTACTTCTCATCTGCTCCATAGAGTAAGCCATGTTAGAAAATTGCCTATTTTTTATCTCTTTTCCTGCATAGTGGAAGAGCAATTTCACTATGTATATTGATAAGAGAAACTTTTTATCCTCCTTTCAACAATATCCTATAATTGTAGTCTACTTGAATTTTGCAGACGGTCTGCAAATGTTGTATATTAGAGCATAGAATACACCCAGAAGGAACTGTAAACCCTGCCTGAATCTAGGAAAAATGTGGATCTTCTCACCACTGATGCTCCCCTCTACATGACTTCAGAATTCCCCTCTGCTTGTTGACTGCATGGCTCAACAGGTCCTAGGAGTGGTCATGCTTCCCAGAACCACCAGTGAATTCCTGAAACACATCATTTCAAAGCCAGAACTAGGGAAGAGTGACTGGGGCTTACTCGTAGGGCGCCAGAATTTAGAGGGCACAAAATTTTTTAAAATTATCTTTAAAGTTTTCAGTTGTTAAATTTGTTACGTTTAATATTTGATGGCACTAGTGCCCTTTCTGTGCTGCAGAAATAACTAGTCTCAACACCTGATTAGCTAGAATAATTAGTTAAAATACAAAGCTACGACTTTATGCACCTTTCCTCCACACAGTAAGTGAGCTACTCCCTAGCCCGGCCTGCCTTGTTCCCCCAAAGCAATGGCCCTGGATCTCGTGTCATCCTCAGGTCTCCCTTGCATAAGCTGCTATCTAGTATCTTTAATCCCACAAGATCGTATGCAAGGGTCTCCCAGTGTCGGACACATCTACATATCCAGTTTCAAGGTCTCTTTCCCTAGGTGGGACTAGTGTATCAGAGCCTCTACTCACATTGTTCTGGTGTCCTGGGGTCTTTCCACTTACTCAACTAAATTGGTTTTAATTACTTCTTATATTACTTTGATAAGGTGATTACAAAGTGACTTTGAAGGCCTGTTTCACGCTGCTTTCCCCAGATCTCAAAGTACTAGACTTGTTGTTGCTGGCAGGTTGTTTCAGTTGTGTCTGACTCTTTGTGACCCCTGTGGGGTTTTCTTGGCAAAAATACTGGAGTGGTTTGCTATTTCCTTCTCCAGGTCATTTTACAAATGAGGAAACTGAGGCAAACAGGGTTAAATGACTTGCCCAGGGTCACAAACTAATAAGTATCTGAGGCTAGATTTTAACTCAGCTCTTCTTTACTCCAGGATTGGTGCTCTGTCCGCTGTGCCACCTAGCTGCCCCTCAAAAGTACTGGATAGCTCCTCTTCATTTCTCTTTTATCCTTGCAAGTGGCTCTTGTTGGGGGGGGGGGGGATTCTATAGGGTAGGCTAGTGATTCCAATTCTCTTTTAATTCCCCACTGAAGCTGTGCCACTAATGACACAAATCTTATCTCTTTGTTCGTTTACCCCTCTTTCTGCCTGTTACACCAACATACACTTCCAAAACCAAAATAATGATAATAGCTAGCACTTATATAGCACTTTAAAGTTTGCCAACTGCTTTACAAATATTATCTCATTTGATCCTCACAAAAACCCTGACAGGTGCTCCTTACTATTATCTCCATTTTACAGATGAAAAAACTGAGGTAGACAAAGGTTAGGTGACTTGCCCAAGGTCACACAGCTAGTTAATATCTGGGGCTAGATTTGAAATCAAGTCTTTCTTCTTAACTCAGAGCTTCAGTATTCTATCTGCAATGCCACCTAGTTACCCTGCCTTGTTATTTTTTAGCTTTTCTATTCTCTAGTTTGATCTGATCCCCACCAGGAATGATAATAGCTAATTTGGAGTTACTTTTTTTTTCTATATTAACATAGATAGAGCATTTCATTGGCCTGTGACATTTTAATTCCTCGTCTTCTCCCAATAAACGAAATCAATATGCTTATTTGATGGTGCTATAAATGTGCAGATTATGTGCCAACTTCCCAGATCCATTTGATCTATTCTGCAATTATTTTTATCTGAGCACCCATGAAAAGACTTCCAGGTGTGTCTTTATACCATATGCTGGCATGTTCCATGCCCTTGCCAGAATCAGAGGGGCAGCCAGAACCATAGCAGATCTTGCATATTTTCTAGTTCAAACATACCACCTTATAGGTAAGAAAATAGAGACCCAGGGAGGTTCCATGACCTCCCCAAGGTCATGTACATCATAGGATCATAAGAGCATAAATTCAGAGCAGGGAGAGATCCTAGAGGTCATTTTGTCCAACCTCCTCAATTTTCAGATAAGAAAACTCCATCCCCCTCCTCTCACCTAGGCCAGTTCTGTATTTCCAACTTCCTGATAGTTGTATTAACCTGGCTAGCATACTGCCAACAACCTACAACCTCAACAGGCTGACCTCTAAGTTCATTGTCTTCCCCAAAAACTAGTCCCTCTCCCAACTTCTCTTTTGTTCGATAATTGTGCCATTATCCCACCCACACTCAGAATCTTGGAGTGGGCTTTGTTTCTCTTCTTCCTGTAAAGCCACTCATCCAATTAGTCAGTAAATTCTTCCATTTTTAATCCCACAATACTTTAACTTCCATTTTAACTTCTTATCCATTCCTATGATAACTGCCCTAGTCTAGGTCCTCATCTCTAACCTAGACTACTGTTAACGGTCACCTAACTGGTCTCCTAGCCTTCAGTCTACTCCCTCACTAACGCATCCTCCATCCTGGTACCTTAGTAATTCCTTAATATATGACAAATATGATTCCCCTCTTCTGCTCAAAAACCTTCAATGGCCCACAATTTCCTGACAAAAATAAAAACAACATTAACATGGTATTCAAACCCCTACATAATCTTACTCTTATCTATTTATCTATCTTTGTCTCATATTATTTCCCCTTTGTGGACTCTTATGCTCCAACTATGATCAGCGAGGTGGTACAGTGAATAGAGCACAGGATTGGAAACTGGAAGATTCATCCTGAGTTCAAATCTGGCCTCAGACATTTACTAGCTGTGTAACCCTGAGCCAGTCACTTAATCCTGCTTGCCTTAGTTTCCTCGTCTGTAAAATAAGCTGGGGAAGGAAATGGCAAATATTCCAGTATCTTTGCCAAGAAAACCCCAAATGGGGTCATGAAGAGTCAGACACAACTGAAAAACAACTGAACAACAACAAAATATTCCAACTAGATTACTATAGGTCAGTCTCAATTGATTCTAATAATGAATCCCATGAAATGGTGGCATGTCTTAGAATTTGCTCTGTTTTAAGTTATAGTTGTGTAAAATGTGTTGAATTACTACAGCCCAATAGAAATATTCAGTGCCAATTTGAATAATGCCACCACTGGATGGGATTTATTATTCACACACTAATCAGGACCTGCATTACAAGGATGATCCTATGGGATTATCCATGGATGATCCATGGAGAATGAGACAGGAGATTCCACTGCTTGCTAATGGATGTGCTAATAGGATGATCTCTATTGAACTAGATTTCAACTCTTGCTCATCCTGCTCTCTATGTCTCCATGCTTCAGTTTACATTGTTCCCTGAGCCTAGAACAGAATCCTTCCTGATCTCTGTGGATGTCTCAACCAAGAAAACAAGGCAGTTATGACTGCTAGTTAAATGTATAACTCCCAGAAAACATATGGGTAAATAAAATAATTTTAATTTAAATAGAAGGAAGATTGGTGAAAACATTCGTTTAGTGCTTTACGGGTATTCAAAGCATCTTCACAAACATTACCTTACTTGATCCTGTCCAAGAAGACAAATGCAACAGTAATTCAGGGATCTGCCATTTTGTTGGTAGATTCCCTCTGCTGACTCATTTTACAACCGCTCCATAATTCAATGGATTGTCTTCAAGAGCTGCTACGCCAAGTTGCAAAGTATAACAAAGGTGGTACGGTCCCTGAATCATCGTGTGCTAGAAATGATGCTATCACCAATGCCATGAGCTGCCAAGGGTGCTGTATAAACTGCTCCAGAGGATGCTTTGCCTACTAGCATTCTCATGTCATTCTCTTGGCAGAAAACAGTCAAATATTCCCATTGGCTCCTTGGTCATTATCACTATCATTGTCAGGTAGTTTCTTTTTTTGTTGTTCAATCATTCCAGTCGTGTCCAACTCCTCAAGATCTCCTTTGGGGTTTTCTTGACAGCAGTACTGGAGTGGTTTGCCATTACCTTCTCCAGCTCTTTTGACAGATGAGGAAACTGAGGCAAACAGGGTTAAGTGACTTGCTCAGGGTCACACAACTAGCTAGTGTCTGAGGCCAGATTTGAACTAAGGAAGATGAGTCTTCCTGACTCCAGGCCCAGCACTCTATTCCCTGCACCACCTAGCTGCCTTTTTCAGGTAGCTTATTAATTCCTAAATGATCCTATTAATGGATGCATCTTTGGGTATACTACAATATATCAATGTATCAAGTACTGTGTATGATTGGTGTCAAATTCAAATAGAAACAGAAACCTCTGGCTCACATATAGACTTAGAAAACCACAAATTAACATTATCTATAGTGCATTGTGTTTTTGTTTATTTTGTCAAACATTTCTCAGTAATATTTTCATCTGTTTCCTGGGGCACTTGAGAGTTTTGTGGGCCACTTGCAGTTTGAGTTTTATACCTGTTTTACATAAGAGTTACTACTTTCATGCTTCTGAATTCTTTATACCATACACTGCCACCTTGCAAAGTACCCTGGTTCCCCAAGAAGCTTTTAAAAACATCATCACCAACATCTAGTGGTACTCATTAGACTAATTGTCCTTAATGTGCATCAGTTACCATGAAAGACAACCAATCTTTTAATAACTGAATAGCCATAGGAACTCTTTAAACTAATAACCACAGTGTTCTACAATATTCAGCAATGTTAAATATAGGCTAGTAGTAGAGTGTTATAAGAGAGAGGAGAGGGAGGGAGGGAGGGAAAGAGAGAAAGAGAGGGGGAGAGAGGGAGGGGGACAGGAGAAGAATGGGAAGAGAGTTGGCTTTGAAGTCAAGAAGACATGGGTTCAAGTCTCACCTGTTACACGTACTTAACCTCTTAAAGCTCTAAGCAGCTATCTAAGACTAAGATACTGAGAAGGTGTCCATCTGCCTTGGTGGGGAGACATTCCTCACCTAGAATGATTAAAGCACAGGTCAAATCCCCAGTTCCCCATAAACAGTGACACATCAGTGGCACCTTGATACATAAGAGTCTAATAGTTATAGTAAAACAATTGATCTGGCTTATAAAAGTCACATCAGAAAACCCTGCTATACAATCATAGCCTAAGAAAGGTAAGACATTTTTAGAAAAAATAAGATCTTCAATGGCTCCCAGCAGTGCCCTTTGGGCATCCAAGATAGAGATCCCAGATGAGCCCTCAAATGTACTCTGTTTATGGGACCTCAGAAAGCTAACCCAAGTTTAAGGAACTCTGGGGATCAGCATCCACTCAAAAACATAACCCAGGACTCCACCCCACTCACCAGGATGTTTCTTTTATGGGACCAATTAGAAGAAAACTTAATTCAAAGCAAAATCCCTTCAATCAGCATAGTAAGAGATGTGATAAGATCTTCCTGACAAGGATATCACAGTCCCATGGCTACCCTCTCTCATAGGTTGCCATACCATCTTTGGAGAAGGGGTACACATATAGGTAACATAGGTGAAGAGCAAATAAATAGGGAGGGAAGGAGGATGTTAGGAATAGGAGAAAGGTAATATTTCCGAGGGAGAAGTGGAGAGAAGAGCCCTTTAAGAATTCGCTGGTAGAGTCAGGCAGAAGAAAATTAGATTATATTCAGAAGCAGAGCTCTAACTAGGGTGGGGTAACTAGGGCTTTTCTCCAGGTCACCTAGTTTAGAAGGTGCTCTCAAAGTCCTTCAGCAGCAAGATCAGCAGCATAGAAACAATGAAGTTACATGTCTAATTAACAAGAATAATTAGTTAAAATAAGAAACTACAAGACTTGAGTTCCTCCCCTACCCTTCCCAACTTTCCCTTCTCTCACATGGCAACCTTTCCCAGAGTTTCTGTCTGCCCTCCATGGGGCAGTATCCTGTTACCCCTTCTCATCCTTTCCTGCTTTCATGTTTTGGTATTTGCCCCAGGTACAAAAATTCGTGATTAGGCTTTGGTTCAGAAGAATAGAGCTAAGTTTTAGTAGTTTTATGTTTCTTACTTTTCAAATGCCAAAAATAGCAGTAAAGAAACACATCTTGGAGAAACTTCTAGTGTATTTCCAGAATTCAGCCCCCAGACAGATGGGTAAATTGATTAAAGAAATATCTGGGCCTCTATAACTGTTCATTATTTTGGGTTCTTTTCCTCTAGGCAAAGAAGAAGAGAGGCTTGCCCTAGAAACTGCTCTGATGTATGGGGCTAAAAAACCTCTTGACACAGAGGGCATCCATCAGTTCAGGGCTGATATTGACATGGATTTTGAGGTAGAAAAGGCTGTACTTGGAAGAGACTTCAAAGTCACCATCACTTTCCGGAACAGCACTTCTAGACGTTACACAGCTACAGCTTATCTCTCTGGCAACATCGTCTTCTATACAGGTGTTGCAAAGTCGGAATTCAAGAACCAGTCCTTTGATGTGAAAGTGGAGCCCTACTCCTGTAAGTTGGGGAGATTTTTCTCAAATTTCTGAGCCCTGACCTTTCTTCCTAGCATCTCCTTGGTGATACTCCCCACTACCTGCTTTCCTAGAGCATCACACAAGGGCATCAGGAAGAGAGCTCACTCACATGTTGTGTAGATCAGTCTTTTTTGGTCTTCTCAATCTCCAACAGAAAGAAATGAAAATTCGGATATTCCATCTCAAGAATTCTATGAGCCAATGAGAGATTAGGTGTCTCCTGGAAGTTAGTAAATTTTTCTAGAGGATCTCTTTGCCCACTTAGGAAAGGAGATATGTCTAATGGAGCCCTTTGGGAGAGTCTCAACTCTTGTGCACAATTTGGCTTTTGAAGGGCAAGATAAGAATTTCAGTTTTAACTCCTCCCCTAAAAAAAGAAATAGAGTTTGGGAGGAAGGCTGAGAATCTATGATTTCACTAGTGTGAGGAGCTCCCAGTGTGGGAACTCCCTCCACAAATTCAGATAAGCATCTGCTCTGTAACTTGTAATCGTTGAAAGTTGCCTGGGGGAACCAGCCCTGGAGCCAGAAGGACCTAAATTCAAATCTGACCTCACACATTTACTAGCTGTGCCCCTGGGTAAGTCACTTAACACCAGTTGCCTAAAAAAAAAAAAAATGTTGCCTGGGGCATGAAATTAAGTGACTTGCCC